GCCGAATTTGTAAGTGCTTCAACATCCCCGCTTTTTCTAATAAGTAGATCCTTTAATGAATCTGAATCAAGAAAACCTAGCAGTAAACAGAAAAGGGAGAGAAGGAGCACTCCGCTGCCCTGATACCTCCACTGTGCCTCAGAGGGCTTCCGAATAGCACAATTGGAGGCTAAGACAGATGTGGTTTCAAAGCCTGGGCTTTGCCACCACCACACACCTGTGTGGTGTTGAGCAAGCTCTATGCCCATTTCATGTGACAAATCTGAAATGAATCTACTTGAAGGTTTGCCTGAGGATGAAAAGCAATATTATATCAAGTATTTAGCTGTACTGAGCCATTCTCAGAGGGATACATGAACATTTTCATTCCTAGATTTGAAACTGGTGGGGAATGAATAATAACCTCTCTAGAATGCTTAAAGCAGTAGGCAACAGTGTAATCCATGTGATGAGCCAGCATTGTCTAGGGAAGCAACCAGAGACTGTCCTAGTGATTGCCCCATGATTAGAAATCTGTATTTTTATCTCCGTGAGGAAAGAAAACCATTGTTTGCCAAAAAAAATCTGCATAGGTTTTACCCACATGGCCTACAATTTCCTCAATTTTGCTTTTTTTTTTTAAATGAGCTTGGTTCTTTTAAGCCCATGGCACTAAATGGATATAGAGTATAAAGACAGGATAACAAGATAACAAAAAAAAAAAAGTTGGTCAAGGTTAGAATTTTGCATCTGTACCCAAAAGATGTTAAGCTAACAGATTGAGAAAGAATTTAAGCTAGTGTTGATGGTAGGGACTAGGACTTTCATTATAGAAGTACTTTTTACCTTCATGATAACTCCATGTGTAGGTGTCAGATGATCTTTTGTTCTAAAGCAATAATGAAACTTAGATTAAATAAAATGTGTCTGAAATAATTAATGTGTAAACCTGGAATTACAAAAGTGAATTTTGTGATCATTTGGGTGTCAAGGGAATGTTCTACAGAACTTTATTAATTCATCTAATCTCAGCAATCTTATGAGGATCCCATCAAATATTCCTATTTTATCAATGGAGCTTAAGAGCAGAGAGGTTATATAATTTATCTAGATCACATTGCTGGTTAAAAAAAAAAAAAAGAATCCGGAGTTCAAACCTCCCAGCATGGATTCTAACTTTGTGTAATGAGAATTCTGTATACTTTAAAAATAATCACATTATAGGGGCAGCTAGGTGGTTCAGTCAGTTGAGCATCTGGCTCTTGATTTTGGCTCGGGTCATGATCCTGCAGTTGGTGAGTTTGGGCCCTGTGTCGGACTCCATGCTGCCTGCTTGGGATTCTCTCTCTCTCTCTCTCTCTCTTTGACCTTCCCCTGCTTGCTCTCTCAAAATTAAAAAAAAAAAAACTAAAAGAAAAGGTATATTATAAATTGGGTCTAAATGAACTTCAGCCTTCTCTACTTATTAACTTCCTTCATCTGATTTTGAAATACATAACTCTGCTCCCTTTTGCCCAGATCCTTTCTGTTTGCCTTTAAATATTCCACACTCTTCCACTCTGAGAAGGCAAATTTGAGGCCTGAGCTCCAATCTCCTAGTGTGGCTACTTCTCCAACCCTTTCCTTGCTGCTCACTCAATATCTCAGTGATTGGCTTTGCTGCATGTTGGGCATACAAGTGCATTCGGGTAGAGTATTATTTTAAAGGCAAGATTTTAAAACCTACAAGAGCATGTTTATATCTTCGAATCCTTAAAACCACGAAATAACTCCTTTATCTCCATTTCTAGCCCTCAAATGTCTTACCCTCTGCCAGGACTTTTATCCAGTTGATGTTTCTAAGGCAGTCTTTCTGCAGCAGAATTGGAAATGGATTGATATTCTTTAATATATCATCTAAGTATACCCTGAATCAATTAAAAACATTTGCATCTGGAAATAAATGATCCTAGGTTGCAGGCACTCAGGGTTTTGAAAGCAATCTTGGAATCATAATGTAGTGTAGCCTTACCTCTTGACTCAAGGGACATTCGACCCATGTCAGATAGGCAATAAGATATTTTTTGTTTTAAGTTTTAGCAGCAAGAGCAAAACAGAGCTGAGAAAACACTAAGACCAAAGCAAATTCAACAACTTCTAACATTTTTGGTCAAAGCAAACAGACTTCAAACACTCGATGTAGCTTACCCAAATCCCAAAGACTAGCATCTTCAGATGGCGGCTCTCAAAAATCCCTCCAATCTCACGTTTCAACCTACCTGCTCATAAAATTCATTGACGATGCCTTCTGTCCATTTCAAATGCAAGTCCCGAACTTTCGCTGGGCCGTTTATATCTGCCAGTTTGATACACACCTGGCATACCAAGAGGCGATCATTTTCATTGCTCCATTCTATACCGTTACTGTTTACATCATTGGCCTGTGTTGGAAAAACAATTATTTTAACTTTTGAGGGCACAGGAGTTGGGTTTTTGCCCCCAAAAGTATCTTAAAACTATTTCCTGTCTAAATTATAGGAAGGAATATGGGTTAATGGTAGAATGACACTTTGAAGTGTTCTAATTTTGTTTCTAAGGAAGCAGAACATCATAAAAACAGAAACTGTGGTTTCCATATGTGTGATTACCACAAAATTATAATGTGTGTATATATTACATATGTAATTAATATATAATTTAATATATAATATACACTATAATTTTACAGAACACTTAAGATCTAAAGAGAAGTTGGCTTTAGCTGTGAAAGGAAAATATGGTATAGTTGAAAGAAGACAAGTTTTAAAAGTTGATCTCAATGGTTTCAAATCCTGACTCGATTTATTCATTGTGTGATACTGGAAAAATGACTTCATCTCCCTGAATCTAAATTTCTTCATCTATAAAATAGGAAAAGTAGTACCAATCCAGCCATATTGCCATGAGGATTAATAAATGAAAAATGCCTAGATCACAGTATATGCTAACACTGTTATTTAAATAAATGGTAATTATCATCACTAAGTAGGCAACTTACTATGCCTTCCAAAAACTCAAATTTTCTCTTGTAAAAAATAAAGTACATGGCCCAGATCAGTGGTTATTGAACGTTAGCAGTGTCTTAGGCACCAAACCCTTTTGTCAAAGTCACTATAGAAAACACTTAAAAGGAGAGCTGTTTTGATTGAACCCGTGTAGGAGATCTAGAGCCCCACTCATGTGACATTTTCCTGAGAGACTACAGAATAGAAACCTCTGAGGAACACAGATTCAAAAGCACTGGGCTAGCTGATCTTGGACCTGTAAAAACAAACATCTGTTACTCTGACTTAAGCACTTAAATGGATTTTTATTATTAAATGTTAACAGAGCTATACAACAATAAAATAATTTTAAAGGCATATAATTTTTTTTTATTTTTCTAAGTATTTTATTAATATCATGACCGCCACATACAGGGTCTCCACCCGGCGGGTTAAGTCTAGTATTCCTTTGTTACCAGTTCCTCTACCCTGAAGGTGCACCTTTCCTTTAGGTCACAAATGTCATCAAGGGAATAACAGCTTCCTGCCAGCCAAAGAGAGAGCATCCTTCCCTCAAGAATCTGTAAAGCTGTGTAAATCTCTGAGTCTGTACAGCATTTTCCACCCCTGACGTCTCAGGGGTAGAACACATGCCAGTGATAGCACTATCACATGAGGGCAGTGATTCTCAATTCCCTATTGAATGCGAATTCTTAACGGCAGGGACTTTCACCCGTTCCTTCCTTACTCTGTGCTGGACGACGGCGCACAGTGGGCAACCCCAGCCGTTCTTCAATGAGCGCATTATACTCCAGTGGAAGAGTGGACAGTCCTCTCCCACACCAGCCAGCTAAACACTAATGTGAAGAGGGGATAAACAGGTGCAGTGAGGTAAGTATAACTGGCTGAGAAGCCCATCTTCAATTTCGTAAAATACCTTAGTTGGCACTGTGCACAACTTTCTCCACTCTGCCCCTAAAAGCTTTTTGCATCATTAATTGGCTTATCACCATGTGAAGGAAAGTTATAAGTCTATGTGTCAGAAAAGAAATGTAGCAAGTGACAGTCTTTTTAGGACATGTTATAATAAATGTTATTTAAAAAATATTGGCATATATTGTCTTGCATATGGTCTCATTATGACTTTATGAGTAGTATTAACTCTAACTTAGCATTAAAAAACACTTATCAGTAATACTGACAATAAAGATTTCCATCTTTGAAGCCAGACATTAATATGTACACAAACCTTGGCATTGAATTCAGCAAGGAAATCAAAATGCTTTTTAAGATCTGTGGCAAGGATTGCTTCAATGACTAAAAAACGAAAGCGCTTGAATTCCACGTGATCAAGATTAAGAAGGAAGTTGTACTCTGGGCGAGAAAGATATAGATTCCAAGCTGATGCGGCATGATGATTTTCTAGAACAGATCTGTCGTTGTACAAAACTGCCTGAAAAGTAATAAGGAAAATGAGTCAGGCATCTCAGAGATAGTAATCTTTAATAATAAACAGAGTTAGGTTGGAAGAGTATAAACAATGAGTAACTACTATATGCCAAGCATTTTAATATCTGTGAAGAAGGGTTGTGATAATTTTCTAAATGAGTTTACTGAAGTACAGAAAGGGGAAGATACCCCTTTCCAGCATGCACATCTAGTAGGTGAAAGGGTAATCCGTCTCCAAAGTTCATCTTTGCAGACACCATGCTGCCCTCGAGAGACGTAAAGTTGATATCTGAGGTCCACTTCATTAAATCAGTAAAGCTTCGTTAGGAAAGGCATTAGAGAGACACAGCAGATTTAAGGACACATTTCTCCTCTTCAGCTAGCACGGAGTCATTGTGGTGAGGACCAAAGAAGAGGCAGGAGCAGTGTCCCGGGTGAGTCGCAGTCCCACATGCCTGGGAAGGACACAGCCTGTACTCCCATCCTGACACTGTCCCTGGGAGTAAGCGAGAAGCAGGACACAGGTAAAAGCACAAATCCTCTGGTTCAAGTGGAATGGGACCCTTCACTGTTCATCCACCTCATTTCAGTGGAAGTCCCTCAGTACTCTAGAACTTTGGAATACAGATTTTAAAAAACGGTGACTTATAGATTTGTCAGAGCCTCTTCTACCTCTAAAAATTGAGCAATTAAAAAGGTTATTAAATAAGCACAGTAATTATTTTAAAAACTTTCACAGCCAGTGCTAAAGGCTAGGGATAAACATAAAAACCTGTCTCCTGGTTTTCATAAAGCTTCTTGTTAATGAGAAAGAAGGACAGATAAAAATAGAATGCAATCTACATTAAGATATATATTCTGGGAGCTTAAATAGGTTTACATGTTATTTGTGAAAATCAGCTATAGTCTAAATGTAAGCATAGATACTTAACACCATTTGATTGTTTTTTTACAGCATTTTATGAAAGCAGTGATGATTTAAACTTTGTAATGGGCCACATAAAGTCTGTAAACAATCTAAATGTCCACTGATGGATGAACAAAAATGTGGTGTGTGTCTATATGTATATGTGTGTTGATGTGTGTGTGTGTGTGTGTGTGTGTGTGTGTGTGTAATGGAATATTTATCCAGCCATGAGAAAGAAGAAAATCCTGACATTTGAGACAACATGGATGGACCTTGAGAGCACTATGCTAAGTGAGGTAAGTCAAAAAAGACAAATACTGTTTGATATCTCTCGTATGTGGAATCTAAAAAAGCTGAACTCATGGAAACGCAGAAGGGTAGTTGCCAGGGGGTGGGGGAAGTAGAAAGATGCTGGTCAAAGGGTACAAACGTCCAGTTACAGCACAAAGTTCTGGGGCTCTAATGTACAGCATTGCGATTATAGTTATTAGTACTGGTATTATATACTTAAAAGTTGGTACTTACCACAAAAAAGATGTGATATTAGGTGACATGATAGTAATCACATTACAACATGTGTATCAAATGAACACAATGTATACCTTAAACTTTCACAATGTTACATATCAATTATGTCAATAAAAAGGCATCTTATAGTAATCTTATTACAACTTGTAAACATCATTAATCCCAAAGAGAAATAATAAGCTTCAAAGATTCCCTAAGGGGTCAATTTGTATTTCATAGTGATTTAACCAATTCATATTCAAATCTGATCAGGATGGATAAACTATTAGAACAGCTTTGTCTGTTCAGGAAAAAGTAATACGACTTCCAGCTCAATAAAGCACAACATGTAACAAGTGCCCTGGAGAGCTAGCTGACTTAATAAACTCTTGGCTCGCAAGATAAGTAAAAGAAATAATGAAGTTCAGAATTCCTTCATTCAAATTACCCTTTGAAATTACCAAAGAAGTATAAAAGAGGGGTAAAAAATCTGAATCAGTATTAAAATCTAGATGTTATCACCGTACTGGAAACCTCAAAGACAAGATGAAAGTGGGAATGGATTGAGAAGAGTCCAAGTAAGTTATCACATGAGAAGGAAAAATCCACCCGGAGAGCAAGTGGAAGGAGTCCTCCGCTGGACCCCAAGAAACCCACTACCTCACAGATGAGCAGAGGCAAGAAACCATCATGGAGCCGTAAGTAGGAGGCAAATGTCCATTCCACTTGAGGAAGAATACTGGGTGAGAACGTACAACAATAAGCCAAGCTTAAACTTAATGAGAAAAACACTCCAGGAAGAACAGGTAGTGAAGCCTCAGCTGGCTTTTACCGAGGGCTCTACAACAACCAGAGAAAGCAGACCAGGCCCTGGCTAACTTGGAGCTGCAGTAAATGACATCCTGTGACTTTGTGCTAAAGCATCCTGATGCCTGCTGTCTCTGGCTATGGATCCCCTTCCTTCACCTGACAGGCGATGACATCTCTAATTTGGCAGAGCAAATCCGCTGATCATAAACTTCCTTTTTCACCTTCTTTCTGAGTTGGAAAGATTTGCAACAGGGTTTAATACAAACTGATAGAATTAATCTTAACAAATAATAAACACCTTTCAATAAGTGAACAAAGAGAGAAAACCCATCAGACATGTGAAAGATTTCGATCAAACAGAGGAAGAGGCTGACAAATGCGAACCAATGTCCCCTTTTGATGAGATCAGGTACGTTCAGGGTGGTATGGCCCTAGCAAGTGTCCTCTTTTGAAACACAAACAGGAGGAAACTTTTAAAAATGTCTATGTCATAGTCATGAGATTAAAGAGAGTACTTTTGAAAAGTGAAAAATCTTGGATTAAGAAAAATTGTTTCCACTTAAAAAAAGTTCTTAAAAATCCAGTAGAGGTAGTAAATCAGGTGTGGCAGAAAACAAAGGAGCTAGTTTTAAAAAAAGAAAAGAAAAGGTACTTCTCTCTAAAGAAATAGTCATGATAAATAGCTGTCATTTTGGGATCCCTTTACCCCAAAGATCTGGGGTTGTTCTAAAATTTCTGGCAATCCTGTATCTTTTGAGATCCTTTGCCTTCCCTGTCACCTTTGTTTTGCTAAGACACTTTTTTAAGTAACTTTCTAAGGATGAACAGGTACATGCCTTATTTAATCTTGTTTAAAAAATCTTCAGGGGCGCCTGGGTGGCGCAGTCGGTTAAAGCGTCCGACTTCAGCCAGGTCACGATCTCGCGGTCCGTGAGTTCGAGCCCCGCGTCGGGCTCTGGGCTGATGGCTCAGAGCCTGGAGCCTGTTTCCGATTCTGTGTCTCCCTCTCTCTCTGCCCCTCCCCCGTTCATGCTCTGTCTCTCTCTGTCCCAAAAATAAACAAACGTTGAAAAAAAATTTAAAAAAAAAATTAAAAATCTTCGTATGTCGGAGATTCTCTTTATTTTGCTCTTAATGCTCGGCTGTAGCTTAGCTTGATACAGAAATCTCGAAAATAACCAGAAATCAGAAAACCTGAAAATCATCTTTACAGCAGCACTTCCCATTTCCTCCGCTGTGTTAGTTCTTTCCCAGCACTTACAACCTCATCATCTCTCTGCCACCCAGACACGCTCTATTATCTTGTTTTTCTTGCTTTACCAGAATGTAAGTTGTACAGAGGCAGAACTTTTTTTTTTTTTGCCTGCTTTGTTCAATAATAATGCCTAGAATAGCACCTCTCACAGTGGGCACCTGATGTTTGTTGTACAAATAAATGAATTCCCTTAGAATTTTGAAAACTTTATTCCAGTACTCTTGAGCATCCACTGTTGCTGAAATACAATGCCAGTTGGATTTTTGTTCTTTTATAAGTGTGCTGTTATCATTCTCTCAGGAATTCCTTTTGTAAAGAAAACCTTTGTTACTCTGAAATTTTACCATGGCACCCCATGTACAGGTTTTTCGTGTTCTTTCCCCCCATTCAGCCTCCCTGACACATGGAGAACCCCTTCAATCCAACGACCCGTCTCTTTCTGCAACTCCCCATGGTCAGTTCTTGACCTGGTCCACTGTGCCCCATTTTTCCCCCATCCCTACATTTTCCACCTCTTTATCTTTTCAGCCTGCATTCTGGGAGACATTACCTGGAGTTTACTTCCAGTGCTGGTGTTGCATTTTTAAAAATTTTGCAGTAATATTTTTAGTTTCTAAGAGATCTAACTTGTTCTCTGATGCTTCCTTTCTCATAGCTTCTTGTTCTTAGGGATGCAGTATTTCTCAAATTCTGAGAATACCTTTTAAAAAACTTAAGGGTTTTTCTATTCCCTGGATTTTTTCCCCTGTATTTGGTTACTCTGTCCATTTTAGCCTTTTCTTTCCACGCTACTGGTTAATGGTTCATGTCTACTAATCCTTAGTTATCTGTTGATATTTAAAAAACAAGAATTCTAGGTTCGCTTGTGTATGTTTTGTTGTCGAGTCACCTCTTTAATTGGGAAGGATGAGTAAGAAGTCTGTGAATGTGGACGGGGTCTGTTACTCAGCAGGTTTTGCCTTAGAGCTATGAGACCAGGTGCCAGCTGTTAGGTTTCCAGAATGAGAATGTGGAGTACTAATACTTACACTAGTAATTCTTATTCTCTCCTGGAAGTTTCCTTCAATCTTTGAGAAAGGAGTTTTCTGCCTGGAGGTAAATGCAGGATTGCAGTAGCTTTACTTAAAGATGTAGAGTGTACATGTATAGGGGTTGGGGGCCCACAGGCACATGTTCGTGTGTGTGTGTGTGTGTGTGTGTGTGTGTGTGTGTGCAGAGCAAGCTGGGGCAAATGGCATCAGAAGTCTCTGTAGGGTTCCACTTTGGCTGTAGCCCCCTCTAGTATACTTTTATCTCTCAATATTTATCTGTTTTTCATTTCCCAGAAATGAAAACTTCTGGAAAATTCTTTCATCTTCTGATAATACCCTTCCCCACCTATTCTTTTCTCTGTTGTAATGAGGAGTCAAATGCATGTGTGTTTAGTCAGTATCTTGATCCATACTTTGAGGGGACAAAACATTTATGACTGTCTTGGATTTACAAATCTCAACTTAAAATTTTGTTTCCAGAGTGCCTGGGTGATTCAGTCAGTTAGGCATCCAAGCTCAGGTCATGATCTCATGGTTAGGGAGCTCGATCCCCACATCAGGCTCTCTGCTGTCAGCGCAGAGCCCGCTTCAGATCCTCTGTCCCCCTCCTCTCTGCCCCTCTCCTGCTCACAGTCTCTCTCAAAAATAAAAACATTAAAAATTATTTAAGAAATTGTTTCCTTTTACCCCAAATATCATCAAGATATTCTGAAACTCTAATCTCAAGCGCTAATTTCCATCTTTCAGCCAGCTTTTCATCTGGAAACAGCTCAGAAATCTCTTAGAATTTTAATACTGGCATCTCCTCAGGATAACCCTGGCTAAATGTTTCACCTTCTTTCATGGCAAGGACTTAAAATAATCCTCCTGTGTCTTCCCAGCATACTTTCCTTACCATGAGAACGAAGAAAGTTTGATCCAGTTGATGGTATTGCACACTGCCACTGGAGCTACAACTTTTTTCACTAATCATGGCCTAATTAGACCCACTGAGCTCCCCAAGACGAAAGAACCTGCTTTATTACCTAATAAACATGCCGCACACTTTCACAGAAGAGTCCTTATCTCACATGTGCTAGCTGAACAAGGTCTCGTGCATCTCATTACTTTAGGAAGAACAGAATATATTTCAGACAAGCTAGCGGTCCTGCAGAGCAAAGAAATCAGGCATTCTTCAACATTCAACAAATATTTACTAAACGACTTTTATGTGTTAGGTACTATTCTAGGTATTAGGGACTAAAAGACAGAAATCCCTGGTCTCATGAAGACATATTCCACTGAGGAGAGACAGGCAATAAACCAAATACACAGCATGCTGAATGAGCACTGCTGCTGAGAGAAATAAAGCAGGGAAGGAACCTCATGAGTGTCAGAAAGGGGCTTTTGAAATTTTCAATGGAAGGAGGTGACAGAGTGAGCTGTACAGATGTGTGGGGCAAGACACTCCCGGCAGGGAGGGCAGAAAGTGCAAAGGCTCTCAGAAGGGAGTGTGCAGTGTGCCTAGGATACAGGAGAAAATAGCAAGGAGGCCAAGGAGGCTGGACCTGGGTGAATAAAGACGGAAAAATTAGTAGGAGCTAAATCACATATGACCTTCTGAGCCATTACAATGACTTTTACTAGGAGTGGAGTGAAAGCCCCTGGAGGTTTTGGAACAGAAAGTGATGTAACTCACATTTAAACAGTGTTACTCTGACTCCTAGGAGTTGAGAACAGACTGAAAGGGAATCAGACATAAGCAAGGAGACTGGTTGGAAGGCTATCCTTTTCCAGTAACTGAATTCCCTATCAATTTCCTTTCTATTCTGACACCTCCCATCACTTCATCATTTGGCCATCCTTAGCGATGAGAAGTTAGAAATAACGTGTGTTACTCATACTATATCCAGACTTCATATTTTTATTTGATTAGGACAACCATTTTGAGCATATAACTTGTATAAATTATATTCATGCATTACTGGTTTATCTGCATGGGAGAGAAATAACACTGAGATTCTCTCACTTGCCATATCCTTTGGAGGAGAGGTAATAAGTAAGTCTGACTCACCTATACTCAAAGCTAATGAAAGACGTCAAGCCAAGAGTGAACAGCAAGTAATTTCCGTCTACATGATATCTGATTCGGGAGCCTCTCAAACATATGAAATAGTAGAAAACTTCTCGTATGTGATCTCTTTGCCTTTAATCAGATTCGGTACATATTTTGA